TACTTCTTATACCGCCTCACGGGTGAACCTTTTGCACGTGATCCTTTGCTTGATTCAACAAAATTGCCCTCTCGCGTTGCCACACAAGAGACGTGCTTCACCATCGGTCTCTGCTGGAGAGCGCGTGGACAGGCAGGCACACAACTTCCGTCATAACGATGGGGGGGAGGGGGGGTGCAGGTTGGACCTGGGGGTTGGAGGGGGGGCGGTGGGAGCAACCTGTTCCCAGAGAACGAGCAGGTGGTCTCGTTCCAGAGAGAGGGAGAAGGCCTCCTGGTCAAGAACGGGACGCGTAACGTGCGTCGTCATAAATAATCGTACTTCTGCATCTCATGTCACCGAGCGTGATCTGGTGTCGACCCGGTCGGGCCAAAATAAATGTAATGCTTCCGCAGCACAAGAGAGTAAGGTCCTATTTTATAAGCCCGTCACGGGCGTGACAGAGATAAACATCTTGCAACATGGTCTGCGATCAATCCAGCAGGCTTACCGTTACGGAGCGGAAAAAACAAAGCACACTGTGTGTGAAATTTAGCCGAACAACAAGACAATGAGGGTTTTAGCCGGGGGTTAAATTTATGAAACTAGTGCCGTGATACCTCGTGCTTGCATGACGGATATATAAATGTGACTTTTGAGCACTAACATTTTAAAGGAAATCAATAATGGACGATGCTTAAAAGGCGACAATTTTCCATAAATGTTGCACAAATAAACGAGAATCTATCCGTATGCAAAAACATTTTGTATACGTTTCCTATCAGGTAAGGAATGATTGCCCCTGCCTCTCGCTCCAGCGATTGTCACCATTCTGGGTCATCCGTGGATTCATAAATTAGATTTTTTGTCCTCGTGTTTTCCATGTCGCTAGTAGTGTTTTTTACCGTTTGTTCGGGCTCGTTTGTCCAGTCTCTTTGCTTCATTAGCATGTAATTTGCATTCATCATAAACAACAGATTTATCAAACATGATAATGACTGTTGCAAAACATTGTTAATGTAAATAATTGCTTTCAATCGTTAAAGCAGAGTGTATCCTTACTACAGGCCTCGTACATTGAAAATGTATTTATAAACCAAAATATCCTAAATGATCGCCTCTCATTCTAGCTCAAGGAATTGTTGCCTTGGGTTTTTTCTTTTCTTCAAGAGAACCCTAGATGGGATATTTAGGCAAATTTATTTTTGATCACTGGTAAATGTGGGAGAAAAAACAGTTTCCTAGAAGAAAAAAATCCACAAACAAAACTCAAAGCACAATCACTCCAGATAAGACACCAATCTTATTTAATTAACTGTCTTCTAAAGGTGCCCCGTCGCTATATTGAAACAATATGTGATTAAAGTTTAATGCTACAAATTACCCATGGAATCAAGAAGTATGCAGCGAGTGCGGTAAGGGTCAGAAACCCGCTGGAAAAAAAATAACAACATTTACTTCCAATTACAGAACGTCTTGAAAACAAACTAGCGCTGGTGGTGCAGTCAGGGCCATCCAAACTGGGAGCACACAGACGCGGTCTCTCCTCACGGCCTGAAGACTGTAAGGACTCAGGACAAGATAATTGATTTTTTACCCTTCTATCTGGCAACAAAACTGACACCTTTTTTACAAGGAGTCATGTTTACATAGACCACAATACCTGCAGTCATAATGCAAACAAAAAACATAACTCTGATAATGTGCACTGTCCTTGAAGTTGATTGGTCCACACCCGAGACAGCTTTCCTTAATTTTGTTGTCAAATAGAAGGGTAAAAAAAACAATTATCATATTTTTTACTGGCAAATGAGGCTCCAATGGTGACTCTGGACAAGTTCGCTCATTACCCTGATACAAAGTCATTGTCGCCTCCGAGAGAGAATGCTGCCAGATGAACCTCATAAAAGAGCGGTGAACGTACTGGAAAAACCCCAATAACCACAAAATGAGGAAAATAAAAATCAAAACACACAGGAAGCGCTAAAGTCACATTTCAAACATTCTAGTTTTAGAACAGTAAATAAATATCCGTCCTATAAAAATTTTAAATAAAAGAGGGAGAATGGTGGACATGGAAAACTCTATTATTGGTATTTTTATGGTCAAAATAAACAAAGTGCTTGGCAAACAGGCAGATGGTACAAAAACCGACCTTTGATGTATCTTACACACCGACATCACAACACCACCACTCCATACCTCGCTGGGTGTGTTACGACATGGTGTATTTATTAAACATTTCTTGTTTTCTGGGCTACTTGAATAATGACAGGTAAAATTCGGTTGGGTCTCGTTTATTTCGCATAACCAGATGAGAACTCAATAGACCAAGATGAAGTCCTGACTTGCAAAAATTATCCTGGGTCTCACAGCTGCAAAAATCTGTTTAGGCCCACAGTTGCCAAACTGTGTGGCTTGACGTTCAGTATTAAGCCTTAAAGGCAACATGAAGATAAGATACGTGCATGCCTCTTTACGCAGTGATAGGATAAAAACATGGAACTCTGTTCACAATCGGTCGCAAAGTAAAACCAGTTGCTGAATCCTCTTATAGCCACGCTGTATGTATATTTTAAGCAATGACAGTAAAAATTTAAGAGGGACTCCACTGACCGTGAAGTGGCTCTTATTCTTTGACAAATAAAATGTGGCTGCAACACATGCAGTAAATTAGCACACTTTCCACTATAACCAATTTGTTAATTATTTACAACCGTTATGCAAGTGTACATTATAAAACATGAGCGTTTTTTATTGCTTTTTATTTTCCATCAACCGGACCGCACGACGGTCGTGCTTGCCATGCAAATACGACGCACGTCCACTCATCTCAAAGGTAAGAGGCAAAGGTGCAGCCTTGCAGTGGCCTGCTCAAGATCCTGCTGGTGAAAGTTCCTCCACTCGAGCAAGTTCAAGGCAGCCCCTCTCTCAAGCGTAATTCTGCCCAACTCTTCCAACGATGACCAGACAAACACCTTGCAAGAGGTGGGCGTAACCACACTTTACCCCACCACACGCGATCTGCCGATCGACTGTCTGTAGTCTACCCATTTATACTGCTGGGTGGGCAGAGATTTAAGAAACCCATCCACTGTTTTCGCTGCCACGCCAGGAGTTCACATTGAACCGGCGACCTCTGTGGATCGCTGGTGTGCAAACCATGCGAGAGAGAAAAGGCTCCCGACTCACCATGAAGGAGTGTTACCCTGTATCCATTTACAACGGACCACGTGTGCCCACTAACACGCGCAAGGCATGAAAACCCAAATGCATTTTGAATTCAAGGGAGTCTTCAAATGAGGACATCTATGCCAGTAGACGCCACGGCAAATTACGTAGCATGGCCAGCGGGCATCACAGAATCACTTGCGTAACATTGGCATTCTAGTGCTGGACATGACTGTAGGTTAATATATATTTCTTTAATGAGGTCCAAAATGTAACACGATTTGCATATTCCCTGAAGAACATGACCTTTATGAAACATTTCGCACTCGGGAGTGCTGTTGAAGCTGTAAACTCCAGCTCTGCTGACACAACCGCTCCCTCGTTTGCAAGTTGTGCAATATTCCTTAAGGGCCGCGTACTCGTTCTCTGTAACGTCGATGTTTTTTCTCTCCTGTTTTTGTTGCTCCTGTGCTCACGGCACCACAGATCTCCCTTGTAAAATTGCCGGGCGACTGGCTAAACGGGACCATACACACAACAAATTAAATGAACTCAAACTCAACAGGATTTGACTGAACCATTCTTGCAATGGCATAAACCATGGCCACAATGAGTAGGGCACAATTGACACGGCACCTATTGCTCGATTTGTCAGTGGCCTCTAAATGGACACTGTGGAGAAGTGGCCGTGCAATGCTGTTGGATCAATTCAGATGGTTTTCGTTTTTTGTCCTCCAATTTTATTTTTTATCTGGCTGGGTGGTTCAGCAGGAGAGCGAGCGGCCCGCAATTGGAAGGATTGCGAGTTCAAATCCTGGTCCGAGGTTGACAGTGGTTGTTCGTTATAGGAATTAGGAATTTCCACCACCGGCTCAGAGCTGTTAACTGGGCGTAAGCACCACCCCCCTTAAAGGTCATTTGAGCAGGAAATAACTGTGACTTGTTTTACAAGTTTATTCAATTTTACCATTGGTGTCAAGTCATGTGATAAAGAAGTATCCATTCATTTGGCAACAAAACTGACACCTTTTTTACAAGGAGTCATGTTTGCATAGATCACAATACCTGCAGTCATAATGCAAACAAAAAACATAACTTTGATAATGTGCACTGTCCTTGAAGTTGATTGGTCCACACCCGAGAGAGCTTTACTTAGAGCCTAGTCTCACATGGTGTTGGACCAGATGACGCCAAAAGGCGCAAAAGGTGTCAGTTTTGTTGCCAGATAAAAGGGTAATAAATCAATTATCATATTTTTTACTGGCAAATGAGGTTCCAATGAAGTATCCATTCATCAAATCGAGATTATTTGTTCAACGAGATGAGAACCCAAGACACCAGCAGCGTCATTTTCAAGAGTGACATCACCTCTGGATAGTGAGCAACCGTCAGAATGATGCATCACAGAACTACGTCTGAGATCCCTTCAAGTGATCTCTTATGCACACACCAGGGGCACTTCACTCTCCGACTTGTCTCGATATCGATATGTTTTGTTTCACAGCTGTCAAACAAACATTATTTTTTCATTTGGCCCCTGAATTTTTTTCTCCAAAAATCAAGTGACGAAACTAATTCAAACATTGCTTTCGTGTGCAGTGACTGCTGACCGGGCTGAGGCCATCAACTCACAGACGACACTTGAGAACCCAACTTAATAATGGGCAGCTGCCCATGATTAAAACCCAGGATTCTCAGCGACGCCGGCGCAGTGTGTCCGTGAACCCCAAGCCACCGGGCCCCACCTGGTCGCCGCATTAATGAATCCCTCGCGGCGTGGCACCACGTAAATGACGCAGGAAGATTGGGGGGGGGGGGGGGGGGGGCGCGCGGACACCTGCGCGACTTACCCAGTGCAGAGGGCCCATGCACAGCTTTGCAGCCATCAGCGGGATGCTGGGCTCCTCCGGCGACAGCTTCATGCATTCCTTGAGCACCTTCACCGCCCGGGCAGACTAGAACACGCAGAACACGCACAGGGTCACCCGCCCGCTGTCTCGCACCCCCCGCACTCCTCCACCGCCCACCCATGCCATACACACACAGCTTTGGGGGCACTGCAGTCACTGCTGTGTTGGGGAATCATTAGGTCAAAGCAGCTACAACAAATTCCGTATTGTGCAAATTGTAAGACGCACTTTTCCCCCTGTGTAGTCTACAGCAAACGGAAGCATATCGGTAGCAAATGGGTGGCACGTGATGTGGTAGGTGCTTGCTAACAACACTTGCCCCAATAAGGGGGATATTTGTCTTTGGTCTGTTTGTGTATGTGTGACCAGATTTGAAAAACTTGTATTGATGCCGAGCAGAATTTTGGGATGCGTCTTACTTTCCGGAGTATCTTACAATCTGGAGAATATGATTTCAAGTTTCAAGTTTATTTATTAGGTATAGCCCTGTGAGCCATTCGGCTCTTGAATCGGGTGCAACCGCAACAAACAAAAAACAAAAACATGAACAAGAAAACATCTTAACGTGACTATGTGACTATGTGCAAACTGAAAATCCAGGAAAAAAAACAGCTGACTACTCCCATGTACACAAATATATACGCTGTGTGGCTCCGTGGTGGGGCAGCAAACAGCAGTGCAATAACATCGAACTTTGTACCATGTAAGTATGTACGCTGAACTTATTTCGCACCGTACATAGCCGACCGTGCTAATCTAAGCTCCTCACTTTCACCAACCGTCAGATTGACCAGCGCGGTAAAGCGTGGCGAAATAAACCCCAAGATCCTCACGGTGTGGGTAGGCCCTCATCCAGCAGTGAAATGACAAAAAGGGCTGTAAGTATACACATGTATAAAATGCAACACAAGAGTAGCAGGGGAGGTTGCTGCAGCAATAATATAATAATAATGTCCATGTCTTAGGCACCTTTCACAATGTCTCAAGACATGAACCCTTGTAAATGAACATGCGAATAGCAAACATAGGTATGCATGCATCATGAAACTTGTGAATCAATATTAATCGATGCCTCGATGCATTGTTCCACCAACAGTGAACAATTGCAAGTCTTCTTCGGGTCTTTCGGTAAAGTCACGTAGATAGGTTAAAATAAAATGAAGAATATGAATTCCTGCAGTCACGAAAACTTTAAGTCAAGATTTAATTGCAAGTCTCTTCCAAGCTTACAAGTCACGCACACAAACAGGTCGCCTATTATCGCAATTACAACATTAAAACTTCCCCGTATTATCTTACAACTGTAGAAAAACTTGCTTGATGACGATACGATGAGTGAGCAAACGATTGGAACGTAAAATTCAACTGGTTTATACTACTTTTCTTATTTTTGTTACTTTATTCTTATAATTGCCCTTTGCTAAACTCTCAACATTAGCTCAGTAACTCTTCAAACTGCGCCCCCAGGGATGAAACTTGGGCTGTGCAAACAGACCACTGTTATGTCCCTGCGGTGACCCTCAGGCATTTTCCCGACATCCGAAAGTCCTAATTGAGAGATTCGGATACCACGAGCTACACAAACGCACATGTCCATCCTACAGAGCCTGCGGCAGTGAGGATATGAGCACTGCTAAAAGCCAGCACAACCTCCCCAACAAACTGTTGTAACTGCCAGCAAAAAAAGAAAACAAAATAAACAAAAAAAATCGCCTCCCAGACACAAATTACTCCCGCACAAGAATTTTACTCGCTCTTTAAACATGATGTAATGCACATGCTGATGACATTATTTAAACGCTTGTAACACTTAACCATGCCCAGGTGAACAGCTCCATGCCAGACATGTGGGAATTTTTTATATCCCCCCCCCCCACCTACCTACCACCTAGTGGACCATCAGATTCTTTCACTGCTGGGAAGTTATTGAACAATAAAAGTCCACCGGGTCTGTAATACTGTCATAAATCAAAAGCCGGACTCTGGTGGCTGCATGTCCTCCTGCTAATAGCCTGCCTGAGACTAATGTTTGCCATGATGCGAACTCTGTCATAGACACCAAGTGAACCCTTCAGTGCTCAGGCAATTGGAAGTGAAAGCCGAAGGGATTAGAGACCTCTTGGCCATCTTTGGAAGGATGGCTTGTTTTTCAGTAGTGGAAATGCGCAAGTTCACATGCCCCATTTCATAATGTAAATATCTGTTCAATTTCAACCATTTGTCAACATGCTGTTGGATGAAGGACATCTAGTCATGTCGGGCACGGGGTAGTTGTTTGACCATACTTCACTATGCAGGTCAATGTGCGATGGTGAAGAGGGGGCGGGATTAGGTGGGGATGGACTGGTTCCGATATCACTCGTCACTAATATTATCCCTTTCCCATTCCGATGACGTACACGTACGTCATCGGATTCAGCAGTGAACAGAAGGAAAAACGAAAAAAATAACTATATCGGTATGTCTTGAGGTCAGAAGATGTACCGAGTCTCCCACAAGGCCATGCAGGAGGGGGTGCGGCACAGTTTGGCGTCAGCTATCATCCGAGTGCGGTCGTGTCGCTACAGTTCTCTGTGGTGAGTGTGATTTCTTTAAAAACGACGGCGGTATGCCTCTAAATAAAATTAACGATAACCGCTTGCGCGCTCCGAAATTCAGCGGTGAACGGGACATCCACCCTGCAACTTGCAGACGTCTCGGAATGGGAAAAGGTTGACAGTGTCCGGGAATCAAACTCTGGCAGCTGGGTTTGTAGTGTGGGAGAGGTTGAGGGGGGTGTTGCACTCACCACTGCACCACCGCTCCTAGCTAATATATGTGTGTATGCATACAGATGTATACTTTAAAACTGGAATGTAGAGACTTGTAATAGTTATTCTATGAACACTGATCATTGATCGGATCTTTGAATCTTTGGGTAAAGTCACAGAGATAGAAAAATAAATAACAATAAAAATTCCTGCAGTCACGAAAGCTTCAAATAAAGACTGATCATTGCCTTAAGGATACCTGCACAGAACTGTGTGTGTAGGAACGATCGCTTTCAATTTCTAAAACTTGCATTCAATTATCCTCTCGAGAATATTGGTTGGAAATAGACGCAGAAAAGACTAGACGATACCAATTAGATGTAACGAGAGAACAGAACCAGTGAGACAAGACCCAGACAAACAGTGCAGACACGTTAAGTACCGGTGCAACGCAGACTCGAGCGGTGGCAATGAAGTAACAATAAACGATACCAATAAAAAAAAACATTCTTGAATCAGATTGTGACCCGAAATCGTGATAATTCATTGAATCCCAGGAGAGGGTGAATCATCACGTGCCTACTAAAAATAAAACGACTCAGAATCTATATATATCCACTTCACGAATAATATATTTTTTAATATATATAACAAGGCATGGGCTCACTGACAGTGCAGCTTGATTGAAAAAAAAACGGCCTGGTAGAAATATATGATTACAAAAATTAAAATGTATTGTTATTATATAATTCTGATGATAGCCGGATACGTTCGATTCTCGGCTCTGGCTAACATCAGTGGCGAGTGATAAATGAAGAAGTCCTCGGCCCCTTCTTTCATCAATCGGCACTGACCAGTGTGGTGAAGTACAAGTCGAACGACCTCCATCGCCAATATGGGACGTAGGTGAACTTTGTCCAGCAGCGGACAAAAGGCTGTGAATTTCTCAAAGCTACTCAATTGGGATCACACACAGAGCACTCATCATCTCCCCCTGCTGGCTGTCAAATGCCCGTTTTCAGGCCAGGTACGAGGTAACCTTGCGCTCACAAGGACATATAAGCCACTGGGGGGGTGTCCTTTAAAATGTATTGAGACAACGTGTGATGTAAAGCCCTCCGATATGCCCTGGCGTGAATGGTGCTCGATCGAAAAACAAACCGTGATCACTGTTATCGTTATTAAACTGCACAATGCAAGGCACAGTTCTGTATGTACATCACAGGCTGGTGATGCCTCTCTTGCAGTCGGGTCAGGGATTGTCCACAGCCGCTCGACTGCACAGGGCTTCACCAGAGCGAGGGCTCGCACGCGGCATGCTTGCATGCGCCTACTTCTCGCGAGACAAAGCGCTCGAAGCGGAGAGATACGGTGTGCAAATCCCCTCCTCCAGAATTTGAGCACGTGAGCTCGCATAGCAACAACGCGGTGCTTCAAGTTCAACTCCAGCAGCTGCCTGCAGCGATGTCCAGCGTCACGCTATGACCAGCTCGTGCCACCTGTAACAATGTCCAGCATCGCGCTATGACCAGCTCGTGCCACCTGTAACAATGTCCAGCATCGCGCTATGACCAGCTTGCAGCTACGCATGAAGAGAATGCGAGGAAGCACATCTGCCTGTGCAGCCTGCACTGGGTCAGCGTGCGAGCCCACAGCACACACCCGCGGCGATGCATAATGCAACACGTGGCGCTGCGGTTTATGTAATGCGTGACCGTGCGATTAAAGGCAGGCTCGTAACGATGCAGCGGTTAAATAGATTTCTGCACTCCTCATATGTACATCGATTCTTGCCCATTTGTGAATGTATTATTTACCTTTCATTGAAATTACGTGGGAATCAATTACGAACATACGCAGGTGAAAGACATTTCTGACTGCGAATAAACATAAGTGGGCTTCGGCCGGACACAGCACTCAGAACAGCTGCTGAGTAACAGCCAAAGAAGGGAAAGCCCCCAAGAGGACGTTCACCACAAACATGGTGATGAGATTGTTCCAACTCTGCAATGGGCATGCCCTCTTGGGCGTGTTCTCTCCTTTGGCTACCATTCCATCAGCAGCCTCATTCATCCATAGTCCACTCCGATCAGTCACGTCCTGCTCAAGCCCACCTATTTTTATATTGAGTCAATACGATGTCTCTACACCTGTCCGATGATCCACGCGTTCGTCTTTCTCTCGGCGTAAGCATGCACCTCTCAGTGATCCTTTGTGTACTTTCCAGCTTTTTTTCAATTTCGTCTGTCAATGACTCAAATTACATTCACGTTATTTACTTGGGCAATGCATAAT